TTTTCAGCTTCCTAGCTTTTGTGGTTCCCGAGTTGAAAGTTGCGGACAACTTGCTGCGAACACACAAACACAGATAACTCCGTGACAATATGCGTTTTGTACTGCTGTTACATAGCAAAAAGCGCATAAAAAATAGTTAAAACGAATGAACACCCACCTACGAAGACGCAGTCCAGCACCATCCGCATAACTGAAGGTCAGTGTATAGGCCTCGATCACTTCAGGAGCATCTTCCGATTCATGCACCAAAATAAACAGATCGCGAAGCTAAAAAAACACACACAGTGCGATTTCAAATTTAATAAATTATGCAGCGCAAAACATGAAACAGCACAATTATGCATTGTGGCATGTATTTATTACGCCAAACTTCAGCCTGCTCTTGCAATAAATTGCGAAACTGTGACTTACTTGTTAGGAATGATATGTAAAAACCGAAGTTACCTTGGACAGCACCACTTTTTAATAAGCGTGAAATACTGAGGCAGCAAAAAGGGAGTGGAGAGAGGTCTGTAAGCTCCGAATCTAATGTTTTATTCGCAAGTGCGTGTGAGGTATTGCAATGAATAATGGCAAGCAGGCGATGGAAGAACAAGTGGACAACTACGAGCAATGTACGCCATTGTAAAATAAGGTAAAAATTAAACTGCAATGCAATTTGACCCAGAAAGCACAAAATATGAAGTATTTTTGGAGCGTTTCTTGAAACTAACGTAATGTTTCGCAATTGCATCCGATGCACCAAAAAGACGTTTTGAAAGCAACCGAGAAATATCCGTTTTCTGTGACGGTACCTTGCACAACTGTCCTACAAATTTAACGAAATAAACAGCGGCGTTCATCGGAGTGGCCGGTGCGACCACGGCTTTTGCAAAGTTCTGCCCGGGCATTTGTTGTGAGGAATTTTTACTATTCTGCAGAGTGATAAAAACAGATAAAATGTTATCCATCCCCAAACCAGAAAATTTTCACCGGAAATTTCGCATGGCCTCAGCTGAGATACAGGTATACGTAAAAGCTAAGATTACAGTTTCAGGACTGTGCCTTACATCAAGTATCCTCTAAAATTTCAGCTTCCTATCTTTTCGGTTCCCGAATCAGAATGGCAGGAACGCCTTTGAAATGTTATCTTCTGTACGTCTGTATGAGACATGAAAGTTAAAACTGGAAAGTCTTAGACGTACGCGAAGCTAAATTTAAATTACTACTACGTTGACAGGAAATATCGGCTAGAAAGGCAACAAAAATTCTAGTTTCAGCTAGAAAGACGACAAAAATTCTCATCCCCCCCCCCCCCCCTCCCCTCTAAAACCTTTCACTTGTCTATTAGACGTAGGCTTACG